TAAAGGGCTACGCCAGAGAGGCATGACCTACAGGTCACATGGCAGTGAATCACATGACTTTAGTCACGTGACTAAATGACGTGGTTAGTTACGTACGAACAAGCTTAAGTAAGGAGGAAGACTAAAGGTCTGAGCGTTCGTACGAGTAACAACTATAAAAGGAGGGCCCTCTAGATAGTTCTTTTCTGTATCTTTCTTCTTCTGTACAATAGGTGAATGCATACTCGTTAGTTAGGCCTCTCTCGCCCATAACATAAACCTCTTAACTAAGTATAGTTTAGAATCTTATTCTTTTAGGCAACTTATAATAGCTAGTAGCCTTTTATTATAGATCTTATAGTTGCACTTATAAGCGTTATTCTTCTATAAGAAGTATGTATATAGTTATAAAACTTCTTTATTATTATCTAAAGATAGATTCTAGAAACAGCGTAGCTAGATGAATTACTTTTAAGTACGATCTTGCGTTTTAGGTTAAAGGCTACTAACGTATGTTTAGAAATTAAAACCTTCTTTAGCTTATTAAATACTAATTATTCCTTAGAGCCTTAGTAGAATAGTATGTCGCCTATAAGTCTTCTAAGTGGTGTAGCTAGCTATAAGAAGTTTCTAATAAACCTTTAGTAGAAGTTTTTAAACCCTAGAAATAACTAGACACCTTTTATAGTCTTAGGCGCTTCCTATTTGTAGATTACTACAATCTGATTTAAATCTATACTAATTCCTTTGCCTACTTTAATAATAAACCATAGGTACTTAGTTAACTTAGTCTTAAATTTATATATCTTAATGTCGACTTATAGCCCTATATGTTATAGCTTTCTAAGCACCTTTTAGATATACTCTTTACACTACTTTACTTTACTATCTATATAAATTAGTACGTTGTCTAGGTACGCCAAATAGAACTTGTTGTAACGGGTCGAGTCCTATTAGACTGCGCACGCAACTACAACGCGCCCACCGCGCCAAAAAGGCTGGCACAAGATATCAGAGCTGCTGATATCGTTGCGTAGTTGATACATAAGATAGCCACCGCTATCTGTACTGTAGCGGGCTACCTAGCGCGTTACACTTGTCTAGAAACTTCTATAGGGTCTAGTCAATATACTATTAGAAGGTGCTAGGCGTGTTAGCTATACTAAAGCAGGTGACTAGCTATTTAAATAGCCTAAATTATGTTTAGAATGCTATTTTCTTCTTATTACTCTTTGCTATATAGATCTTATAGAACGCTATAATTACATCTAACTTTATAAACTATTTTGCCTTACTTCAGTTATTAAGCGTCTCTTAGATTAGCAAAAAAGGGTACTAGTCCTTTTTTATAATTATATTTAACGTATAGTAGGTAATATATAATTAAAGCCCCTCTTTTAGCTTTTTAGTAAATAATATTAGTACTACTATAGAAGAACTACTTACGCGTATAAATCCTTTATTGAGTAATAATACAAGCTCCTTTTAGAGAACTAGTAGTTTGCTATAGGACATGCTATATAGTAGTCCTTATAGCAGCTAACTATTCTTCAGTTCTAGTTTAATTCTATAGTTAACACCTAGTCCCTAATATAGTAAGAGTTTCTCTACCTTCTTTAGGTTAGAGAAGTTATAGTACTTCTATTACTACTTTAGTAATAGTGCTCTTACGTCTACTTATTTCTTAGGCTGTAAGGCTTTATTATTATCTACAATTAATATAGTAAAATTCTAAACGCTATTTAGGGCCCTTCTATACTTATAGAGAAGTGCTATAAACCCTACTATATTGATCTAATAAATTTTTTACTAAGGGACCTCTTTTATGAATCTTACTTAAACGCTAGTTAAGTAAATAGATAGACTCTTGTTTGCTAGCGTAATAGTAACGTTGTTATAGTTTATCGAGCCTCTGCCTAGAAGAACGTACTTTATTAAGGACAGGTTTATTACGTACGCATAGGTATTCTGGTTATGCTTATGCAATCTAAATAAGAATTAGGCGACCTTGCTAATCTAGGATAACTTTCTATTAACTTCTTTAATTATCTAAGTAGAAATCTAAAAACGCTCTAGATAGTAGTAGTAAGTGAACCTCTTATTAATTAGCATGTAATATAGGCAACTACTATTAATTTATATAATAATGTTTACTATATTATTAATAATTAAATCTACTATAATTAGTAGTAGGTGTATATATTTATACTAAAACTACCTCTATTTACTATATACCTACTGATCTATCTTTAAAGGCTCTAAGCTAAGACTCTAGCTTAGAGCTCTTCTTTTCTTAAGTTGCTCTCTAATGCGCTCTTAGATTTGTTCTTAAGTCTCTACTTACTACTACTTAGTGTAATCTAGGCGTTTCTAACTTAAGTAGAACTTAGATAATTTCTAATAATATAACTTAGCTTATAGTAACTATAGCACTAAAGTTAGCACTTCTTAAGCCTTTTACCTTAAGTCTTTTAAACTTAGTTAACCTTTGAAAGTTCTTACTCTATTACATTTAAGCTAGCTTTACGCTAAATAGTCTTTAGAGAAGTAGGCCTATAGTTATTAGCTACCTTTCTGTAGCGTCTTTTATGCAACTAGATCTAGTATAAGTTATTAAATAGCTTAATTACTTTATTTATATACTCCTTTGAGCTTCTATTTTTTTAGGCATAAAATATTAGCTTTTAGAGCTCTTTACTAAGCCTTTTGCTAAACATCTCTTAAGCTATAGTAGTACTAAACTATCATCTACTTTGAATATAGAGTTAGTTAAACTCTAAAATCTAATCAAGTACTAGGTGTCTTCTTTATCTTAAGTGCTAAAGCTTATTTAGCATACGCTGCTATTAATGCACGTCTTAGAAGTAGGTATTTATATACTTTTCTGGCTGAGTACTAGTTGTCTCTACGTTATTCAAAACTTAAAGAAGTAGGACCTAATTTATCATATCTTTTATATAGCTAAGCACGTATTAGATCTTTGTATTCTTAGTAAGGAATATAGGTTAATTATACTTTAGTTTTTCTTTAAATTTAAATTTTTAGCTACGGTAATTATGTCTTATTCTCTTAAAATGGTTTAGATTTAGGAACTAATCCTTACGCGTAGCTAGCTGAGCTACTACTACTAGTTATAATAGAGTAGTGTTAATTGCTAAGGTAGGCTCTAAAGAGCCTTGAGTTTAGTTTTATTTAAGTGCCTCTAAGCAATTAGCTAGTAGGCTAAGTAGCTATATTACTTACTCTATTACCTAGGTTATAGCGTTTTGACTAGCTTTTAGTAAGCCCTTTTCCTTAGCAACTATTAATTATTCAATAACTACTTTAATTATTAGTCTAATTGCTACCTCCTTTTAATCATCCTCCTTTAGCATCTATATAATGTCGCGTAGGATATCCTTATCTAGTACTTTTACCTAGCTCTTAGTAGTAGCGTAGGCTACTAACTCTTCTATATTTAGGTTTAGAATATCGTTTACTATCATCTAATTTGCTCTTAGACGCCTTATTTTCTTGCCTACTAATATATAAAGCTTCTAATTACGCTTTAGTTGTCTCGCGTAGTCCTAGACTATAGCCTACTATTTATTATTAAGAACTAGTAGGGCTTTCTATAACTATACTTCCTTTCTAGTTAGATATAAATAGCGTTTAGCTATCATTATATTGCGTTTCTAGTAAGACTTGCGTCTTACCATCTTATTTATATAATCTTGTCTTCTAGTTAAAAAGATATTACATAGCCTATACCTTATCTAATAGAAGATTAATAGGACTACTCTATAGCGTACGTTTCTGGCTACCTTTATTGGAGCTTAAATATCCTTTAGATAGTTTATTACGTTAGGCTATACTTATAGCTTAGCTTTCTAAGACATAATAAGACTTTTTAATAGATCTTAGGCGACTAGCTTATCTACTATCTCTTACAGCTAAACTTTCCTTAAAGCTTTACCCTTAGTGTATTATCTTGCATGTTACAAGTAACAAGCAGAAGAATTCTTCCCCTGAAAGGAATGGCAAGTGGTTGGAGAATCACTTGGGATGACACCAAAGGCATGACGACAACCCCGCGGTGATCACGTGACGTGCCATCCCGCCAAGACGAGACATCCCGCCAAGACGAGACATCCCGCCAAGACTGGGATGGCAGTGGGTCTTGGGATGGTATGCCATCCCAGACATCCCGCCAAGAGGCAGAAAGATGGGATGGACAGGATGGCAGGACTGGAAAGCAATGGGTATAAGAATGTGTTGGATTTCATTATTACACTCGTTGTGGTCAACTTATTATACTGTACTCTCTTACAAGTTCTTTACTTAACAAGATTGGTACTTTGTTATTCTATCTTACTATAGAATTGATTGTCTTTACTATCGGTTAAACCTCCATAACTCTTTTCCACTTGAATTACTCGGCAAT